GTTTCTTTTCTCAGTTTGTTTAACAAGGAAAACTATAATTATCTAATCTTCAACTCACTCAGAGACCTGAGAAGGAAATAATATTAACTGAGTAAGCAGGAAGTGCAAATAACCGACTTCCAAAAAAATATGAGAATGACAGAAACAGTTGGCTGCCTGGACAATCATCTGAAGTTCCTCTGCAACACTGGGGCATCCATCTATAGACTATAGGCTTAGCGTATCTTACAGACTTATCTGTAAAGCAGGATATTCTGAAGGGCCTTGCTACATTGTCTTGGCAAGGTGTAGCAGTCCTTTATTTTGTGTCAGTTGAGGCAAGGGCACTTTTTTCTCAGTGGCTAACTTTCGCCACAAAGAAAGTAAACACCATAAGGAGTTTCTTCAATGCCCATCTTCTCTGAAGTAGATTGGTGCTTCCAAGAGCAGACATGTCTCATAGTCATAAAAAAAGAATCTATGTTATTAAAACATCTTAAATGCCATATTCTGTAGATCTCTGAAGTATTTGAAGATGACCTATCTATCTAAAATATATCTGTTTGACCTTGAAAACATACCTAACCTGACAATTCATTGTAATAGGTGACTAATTACTAACCTGCATTTCCTTATTATCCTAAATAGTTTGTAGTAATAACTTTCAAGAATTAGAAAATTGCATTACATTGTTAAGTGAGTTGTATGGGTATAATACCTTGAACAAGATTCGAAATATATTTTCAGTGTGTTCTAACAAAAACAATCTCAAATTTGTATCAATATACAAAATTTGTATACAATATACAAAAATCCAATCCAATGTAATGTATTTGAAACTAATAGTTGCCTTTTAAAAGTAGATTTAGTAATCTGCCTTTTTATCTTATCATATCCATATCCTCCTTTTTTCTTTTTGGAGTAGATTCAATAATCTATCCTTTTGTCCTATCATTTCTATATAATACATTTCTATATCATACCCCCTTTCTCCTTTTAGAAAGAGATTGACTATGACCAGCAATAATTTTTAAGCAACCCCTAAACAAAAACAAACATTCATAATCCATTTTATGGGAACGTGAGTGTAGTTTTCTAGGCTACTTCCTGCTGATTGAGGGTGTTGATAGTCTTATAGGAACACAAAGAAAATTTAGGATTATGGTCAAGTCTTGATTGGAGTAGTCTGTGAGGCTGTATCATCTCAGCTAGCCATTTCAATATTATCCTGAGCAGTTTGTAGTCCAAAGCTGATCTTTGGGTGATGTTTTTCAGTTTGGTGGTTTATCATCATCCTGATGTGCTGTGGGATGTTCTGTATGGCAAATGTGTTGCTAATTAGTCAATAAATAAAACACTGATTGGCCATTGGCTAGGCAGGAAGTGTAGGCGGGACAAGGAGGAGAATAAAGCTGGGAAGTGGAAGGCTGAGTCAGAGAGACACTGCCAGCCGCCACGATGACAAACAGCATGTGAAGATGCCAGTAAGCCACGAGCCATGTGGCAAGGTATAGATTTATGGAAATGGATTAATTTAAGCTGCAAGAAGCCTGCCACGGCTATACAGTTTGTAAGCAATATAAGTCTCTGTGTTTGCTTGTTGGGTCTGAGTGGCTGTGGGACTGGCAGGTGAAAGAGATTTGCCCTGACTGTGGGCCAGGCAGGAAAACTCAAGCTACACTGATGGAATCACCATTGTGGAGTCCCATCATCTTTTTGGAGACTTCAAAGATTTCATTGGGTCAGATTATTCCTTTTCTTGGTAATTTTTTCCAGGTAGTTCTCTCTTCTTCTTTGAATGTTTATATTCCCAAAGGTCTTTAAATTCCTCAAGGTGGTTGTTTTATTTTCCTAAGAAAATAAAACCCTTTCCCAACCCTAACTTTGGGGAATTTCCAAATCTAATCTTTATCAATTTTGATTTATGGTTTCTCCTCATTTTTTGTTCTCTCTTCTGTAGCTGTTCTATTATCCAGAGCAGTATGATTTTTTATAATAGGTATTAGGTTCTTTAATTGCTCTGGAAAGGAGTTTCTTCCATGATGACAGGAAAGGACTGAATGGAATTTGACATGTGGGCCTGTGAGGGGCCCCTCAGGGAGTTTACTGATGGTGAAAGATTATCTTGACTGTCCCTGGTTAATCTACATTCATTAGTCCAATGTCTGCCTTTCCTACACCTTCTGCATAATCAAGAAGGGAGTGGTATTCTATTGGGATTATTCCTAGCAAAAACATTGTTTCTAGAAGTGTTCTATTTACAGTCCTTTTTAGGTGACCTTGTTTATCACAATTGAAACGTTTGACATTATTGTTTTTCTTCAAACCTCTGGAAATCACTTCTATCCAAGCATCATCATGGTCATGAGATTCAATATTTATTATATCTTGGATCCATTCCTCCAAGGGTGTTAATCTTACCTTTAATGGCCTAATTCCCCTTTTGCATTGTGCATTAGCATTTTCAAAAGCCAGAGATTCAATTATCTGTCTAGCTTCTGAATTTGGTATCATTCTATTCATTGCTGAAGTCAATCTTTGTAAGAAATCAGTGAAGGTTTCTTTGGGGCCCTGTATAACTTTAGTAAATGACTCAATTTTCTTTCCTACTTCTTCAATTCTGTCCCAAGTCTTCAAGGCTGCCATGTGGCATAAAGTTAGTGTGTTGTCATCATATAAAGATTGTCTTTGTGTGTCAGCATAATCACCTTCTCCAAGAAGTTGATCTTGGAACATTTCTATACCTCTAGCTCTACTTTGTTGTTCAATGGTCTTATATTCATCCTTCCGCCAGGTCCTTCATTATAATTGGGGACCAGCCTCTAAGACTGCTGTAACCAAATCTCTCTAGTCTTGAGGGATAATTCTATTACACGTTGACCACGAGTTTAACATCAGCTTTACAAAAGATGAGTGGATGCCATATGGGACTATTGCTTCTTTGAATCTCCTCAAATTTAACATTTGCACAGGAGTCCAGTCAGCTCTTACACAGCTTTGAGGATATCTATCATCTGTAAGTTCCTGTAAGGTTACTGGATTGAATAAGGTTGACTGTTTGAAAGTCTTAGCCTATTTCTCTCTAACTTTATAAGGCAATGTTGAGATTGGTTCTCCTTTAAATTCTTCTGTCTGGGTCTGACTATCTCTATGATCTGTTTTAACAGGTTTTTCTAAAACTTTTATCTTGGCACTCATATTAACCAACTTTTTAATGATAAATGATCAAACATATTATTTATAGTTGACATTACATAAATCCCATCAACATTATCCTCTCATTTAATTGTTCCATTTTCAGACCATCTAATGTGTTATCAAACAGAGACCAAACACCTTCCATTTTATTAATGTTTCCCATCTTTGAATGTGGGGGAAAAAACTCTCTTTTAATTGATTCCTCCCTTTAAGAAATCCCAATTGACTCACCAAATCTGCTGCCAATGACAATTCAGATGACAGTGTGGCAGCAGCCCTAGAAGGGGGCCCAGAGAAAGCCAAGAGGAAGAAGCTAGAGAGCCAGCTGTCTTCGTGGGGGAATGTACAAAAGCAGCTAATTCTGGCATGTTTAGAGCCTGAGCCACCCATGTCACTGGAAGACAAGGTCTCCCACAGTACGAAGGAAATGATTGGAGGCTGTTGTGTTTACTCAGACGAGAGAAAGCCAAAACCCACCCGGAGAGGAAAGAAGCAAAAGATCCAGTGTCTACACGGGGAAAGTGTGTGAAAATGGCTAACTCCTGTGGTTTTTGGAGCCCCAAAATCTATGGAGTTTGGTGTAGAGAGGCTGCAACAAAAACTTAGTCAGCGGGTTAGGGACTCTGGCCCAGGCAGGGTGGAGATTCCAGCCGCATGTAGCTATGGCCTGAACCTGTGGGGTTTTTTTTTGTTTTTTTTTTTTGTAAATTCATGCCCCCAGAAGTTGGATGCCAAATGTTGCTCAAATTTCTAAAGGTCTTTAATAAAAACCTGGTGCCCAATATTGGGGTAAATGCTGAAAGATCAGAGAGAGAAAGGAACACACCACTGCCATGTTTCAGTTCCAGGATTGGTAGGGAAGGGAATTATGTTCACAGTTGAAGGTGCATGAGTTCTATGAGGAGCAAAGAGTGATCATCATATACTTAATTTAAAAGATTTATAAGGCCCCTCCTCAAGGTTCTATAATGAGTAACAACTGCTGTGAAGAAGAATTTCTTCAACTTGTTGAGCTACCTGCAATCATGCAGAGAGTCTAAGCATAGAGATTTCTTGAGCTGTAACCAGGGGAACGGGGGTGGGTGTGGAGTGGGGGTTTAATGAGTGAGCATTTTGACGAGGTAGCTGCCTTTAAGTCATCTATGTTATCCCTCATCCATACTCCTGTGAGTAACCACCTCCATCTTCATTCCTGTAACTAACACCAGTTAACGTACTCTTTCGCCAAGTTGGACTTTCATGGAATCATTTCTTTGGTTTGTGGTCAGTGCCCTATCTGGGGTGAGAAGACATTTGTTTGTGTCTCCCCAGAAAAAGTCATGCAATGCTGACTTTGTCCTGGAAGTCAGATGAAGGGTGAACAGGGCGAGTTGCTGAAGCTGACTTCCAGAACAAAGTCAGCATTATATGACTTAAGTTTCAGGAACTTCCTCAGACTTAGGAGTTGTTGATTTTTTGAGTCATGAGGAGCCTCTGTCCTGGATGAAATATTTCAATTTAGAGGAAATTGCTGAACAACAGTCAGTCAGGGTGTTAGTCCATATTCTATCATTATAATGAAATACCTGAAACAATGAATGTATTCAGAGAAAAAAGATTATTCTCTTTTATAGTTTCAGAGGTTCCAATTCATGATCAGTTGGCTCTGTGTCTTTGTACTTGTGGTTAGGTACCACATGGAGGGGACTATGTGGCAGAGCAGAAATGGTCACCTCGTGGCCATAATACAAAAGAAAGACAGACAAAGGGTCTAGAGTCTTATTTTCCCTTCAGGTGAACACTCCCAATGACTTACAACCTCCTGTCTTCCCTACCCCTTGAAGGTTCTGCTGCCACCTTGTATTACTACCTTGGAGAGCAAGGAGACATTCAGCATCAACAGAAGTACAAGCAGACTCTCACATGCCAGTCAGAATGTCAGAAAATGATGACATCAGGTGAGAGGAATTAGCCAAAACGTCAGCACTAAGGCTTTGGACAAAAATGGCCTATCCAGACAAATAAGCAGGAGTTTCTAAGTTGATAGACCTCATCTGCATGCCAGGCACTTCTAATTAGTATTATAGTGACCCACATTAAATAAAGGCATGCAGCTACATATTATTGCATGTGTGTGGGAAATATACTACAGAAAATGAAGACAAAAATAATGATAAACAGCAATCTGTAGGAAACAGAGCTATCCAGGCAGAATAAAACTTAAACAAACAGCCCTACAACAAAGAAATGCTACTTTTAATATCCTCTGAGAAATAAAATCTTGTGGTTATGAAATAAGAACAGGATCCTTAACTGTATAAAGAACAAAACAGTGAGATTAAAAGCTGTAACAGTAGCAGAAAATTCAATAGACTATTAGAAGTTAAAACTGAGATAGTCGCCCATTAGCATATATAAAGAGATGAAAATATATCAGTGTTAGAAGACTAGTCTAGGAAATTCAATGTCCAAATACGTCAGCGACAAAGAGCAAAGAGACAGCAAAGCAGAAAATATCGAGTGAGCCCAGAAGAATGCAGGAAAATAGGCAGAGATTGGTAAGCAGGCTGAGACCTCATCTTACCACCTTCCTCGGGGAGAGATCATGTGGGTTCAGTATCCCTCCCGCTGTGGACTGGGTGCTATACATGCTAAGATCTCTGTCTGCAAGCAGGTAGTGTTTGCACACGATGCCTACAAAAGCTGGCCCCTCGCTCCAAGCTAGGCAGTTTTCTCCCATTGGATCTCAGCTGGTTGCAGAGACTGGCTTGGTAATAGAACGTAGCTGACATGACATTTTGGGATTTTGATGGAGTTTGTAGTTTCTACTCAAGTCCCGGATGCTCGCTCTCACTCCCATTTGTCATGCTGGACAGAAGCCCACCCAGTCCTGTGCAGAGAGCTGACCTCTACTCAGACTTCCATCTGGGATTCTAGACAACAGCTAATTCCAACTTTCTGTCCAAGTAAGTGGATGATTTTGGAAGTTGATCACCAAGAGCCCACCTCAACCACACAATCCAAATGGCAGGCTTGTAAGAGCAAGATCAATGTCTGGTACCGCTGCACCTTTCTGCTGTCTGTCTCTAAGATGCAATTGCATTTGTAGACCTTCTGAGCTTGAACTCACCTCCACAGGCCTCTTTATCTCATGATGGGCTCCCACAATTTGGACACCATCCTGAGTGTAATCATGAACAAAACAGATTTGCCAAACAACTTAACAATTTAGATAAAATGTGTGAAAAATATTTCACCTACTTGAGAGAAACTCATTACACAGCCCCAGAAGATCGTACCTGGCAACACTATATAAACCAATTTCTCTTATTTTGCACAGACTTTAATATAAAACACTTGCTCCAAATGAGTTAGCTTGTCTTATACTTTTTGGCTATTTTGAGAGCTGTGCTTGAAGTTGGTGTATTCATTTTTTCTCTTATGATTCAATTTGGGTACTGATTAATAGCATTCCATTTAGAAAATAGCTGAGGCCTTACTAATCTGAAATCATCAAAAGTAGAATTCTCTCTCTTAATATTTCATGTTTTGAATATAATGAACTGTTTATGTGAAAATGAAGAAATGCAATGAGCCTCAAAAGGTTGTTAAAATGAAAAACATTAAAAGTAAGACATTCTTGAGGCTCAGGATTGTTCCAGTTTCAAGTCGTTTTTGTTTTTAGGTTCACCAGTATTTAGAAGACCCCTTCCACCCATCCTCAACTCCCCATCTTTACCCTCTATGCTATCCCCCTTGTGAAATGTTACCCCCCACCTTTCTTTTTACCCTTCCCTACATCAACCATCTTAAGGAAGGGCTGGCCAGGAGAGGAGAGGCCTCAGCAATTTCCCTTAGGGTAGAGTTCCATTTCTAAGATTTTCCAATAAAAGTTTCTTCTAAAAGATTGGTTGGGAAATATACTGAAGTCCCACGCAGGGAGGAAACACTATTTCTTGCAAGAGATGACAGAAGCAGAGGTCCCAGCCGGGAAGCTGTCATTGTATAAATGGACCAGTGTGACAGCCCTCTGAGGAGGACAAATGCCTGTGAGTGACATCTTACTCTGCCTGTGTCTAGCAATAAGAATGTAATCACTGGTTATCTAATTAAAAATGAAAGAAACTAATGCCTTTTCAAACACTGAGCTTCTAGAATCTCAGGTTGCTGAGTGTCCTTGAGCAGAGGACACTGTTGCTTGTATGTCACACTGCGGAGGAACAGACCTTGATGAGGTGTCCCATGTTCATATTCTGATTTCATTACTTTTGTTATCGTTATGTTAATGTGTTGCTGGGATGATTTTCTGCCAGGATCCTTGTTCATTTATTCATTCATCTACCATTCTTGCCACAAGCAGTTGATTGCAGGCTACTGTGTGCCATGGCCTGGATCCTAGGGATATAGAGAGGAACAGGACTGCTTCCAGCATTTGGAAGACCACACTGTAGGGGCAACAAATCCCTATGACACAATCTGATTAATCTGTTATAGAGATAACAACTGTACATATGGATTCCATATTATGAAAGACAGAAAATAGAGAGAGGCCTTTCAGAAAGACCACACCTGAAAATAAGATACTTCAATTTGTGGCATGTCTTCCATAGTTGACCAAAGATCCACTATATCTTCTTTTAAAATAAGTCTGCTTTGTTCATATATGTTACTCGATAAGCACTTGAGTCTGAGATCACAGTATAAAATTAGGTCTATCAAGAAAACATATACCATGAGATGGAGTCTTACAAATCTTAAAACCTTTTATGAATGAGGTTTTTTTTTTCTGGTTTTTTGAAACAGGGTTTCTCTGTGTAGTTTTGGTGCCTGTCCTGGATCTCACTCTGTAGACCAGGCTGACCTCAAACTCAAAAAGATCCACCTGGCTCTGCCTCCCGAGCACTGGGATTAAAGGCATGTGCCACCACCACCCGGCATGAATGAGTTTTGAAAAGGTCATGTGATATCTTAAAACATCCAGACTCATGTCCTCTCAGGTATGGAAATATGCCTCACCAACCACATATCTTATACAGTAAAAATACAAAACAAAATTTATTCTTGCTAATCAGTAACATCTCAGCCTGTTTCTATTTAAAGAGTCTTTGGAGGCTGGAGAGATGGCTCAGCAGTTAAGATTACTTACTGCTCTTGCAGAGGACCTGGTTCTAGTTCCCAGTGCCCACATCAGGCAGCTTACAACCACCTGTAACTCTAGTTCCAGAGGATCTGATGCTCTTGGACCTCCATGGGCACCTACACTCATGTGGTGCATGCAAATTCACACAGGCACACATACATACACACAAATGGCAATAAATAAATCTCAGCACTGGGAAGGCAGAGGCAGAAAGATCTCTATGAGTTGGAGGCCAGCCCTGATCTACATAGAGAGGACCTCTTGTCTTTTTTTTTTTTTTAATTTGTCTTCTTTATTGATTCTTTGGAAGTTTCACATCATGCATCCAATTCTGTTCATCTCCTGGTCCTCCCATACCCTCCCTTCACCCCTGCAGCATTGTACCACAAAAGAAAAAAATAAAACAAAGCAAGCAAGAAGCAAGCAAGCAAACAAACAAAAATAAGAACAAAACAAACAGGAAAATCGATTCTCCTTCTTTCCCACTGGTGCCGTGATGAGACAGGCTCTTCCAGCACTCTGTGTCCAGGGCTCAGCGTCTGGAAACCTGTACCGTGGTTTATTGTATGACTACCCACTCTGCTTTTTCATTTGCCCAGCCGCCAGACCACTCCGCACACCACATCTGATAACCAGATTGGTGAGTTTTTCCCTTTCTCATCCCCTGCCATTTCCTGCGACTGTAGCCTGAGATATACTTCTCACTGCTGGACCCCCAGGGGATTCTTGGGCTGTGTATGCCCCCAGCCCTTACCCCCCTCTTGACAAAGGGTGGGATAACCTTGTGTGCTGATTCATAGATCCTTCTCCAACCTCGGGGATGCCTGGGATTGGAGTCTGATTCCAATAAATTAAAATTTATTTTAATTTTTAATTTTTTTTCTCAGCGCTGCAGTCATGGGACATAAGGCTTCCTCCTCTTGGTCCCACTCCTCCTCTGAGAAATGCCTTAAATATACCAATAAATATGGCCGCAAACCCGGTGTGTCACGGGGAATTATCTAACTTCTGCCAGCAAACGGGCAAATGAAAAGAGTTACCCCTCATCCCCAAGCTTTCTACCTAAGCGCTGAACCCTCCTCCCTCCCCATTTCTGATTCTTTCTCTGCCATGTGCAACCACTTCCGCCTATCTGACTTCCGCTCGGCTCTCCGGTATTGGGCGGGCTCTCCAGTAGCAGGTGGGCTGCTTCTGCCCAACTCTGTTTCTCACCTTAATTCTTCCCACTCTTCCTCTTACTCATTCTCAAGCAGCCCTGACAAGCGCTGACAGGTCTGAAACAGGCTAGGATGCATGCAAATAAGTTTATAATCAGGACCCACATGGGGATCACAGTAATCCGGATGGCTCTTTGGCCAGAGATCGTTTTACAGCCTGCCTCCTGGTGGGTCCTCCTAAAGCTGTCCTCAAACCAGCAAACTATCAAAAAAAAAAAAAATTCAAGACATGAAATAAAATCTGTCTCTTGTTTCCCAGAGCTTCCTGACCTTAGGGCTAAAATTTAAGCATCTGGAGAGCAAGGCTCCTGACCCCACAGATGGAAGTTTCAGCTGTGGCATGTTAAAGTGTACCATGGGAGAAAGGAAAAAGCCATGAACAAAATGCTGGCACATGCTATCCAACCGGCTCCTGAAAGCTGCTGGATTCCTGTTTTAAGTGGATGAAAGAAGGCCACGTGGGCTAGTGCATGCCCTGCTGGGCCATCAATTGAGCCTTGTTCAAAGTGCCACCTAGAGAGACAACTGGTCAGCTGACTGCCTCCATGCACCCAGGAGCATGGGAGTATCAAACAAAGACCTCCAGGTGCCTTAAAAGAAT